TGATTTTTTGCAAGATGGTCACTCATCTGGCTTGAAGGCGGCAACACTTCGACGACAGACCGCAGCTCTAGCTTCCGTCTTACCAAAATACGGGGGTTACACTGTTACACAGCACCCTCATATTCGTCGCTTTCTTCGAGGTGTAACTTTACAAGACCCTCCACAGACGCATAGATTTCCCACGTGGAAGTTGAACACTGTACTTACGGCATTAACAAAACGACCGTTCGAACCTCTCCAAGATATCTCTATGAAATTCTTAAGACTCAAAGCACTATTTCTAGTAGCTATCACCTCAGCTAGAAGGATTTCAGAATTAGGAGCATTGTCTATCCGAAAAGATCTATGCGTGTTCCACAAAGACAAAGTAGTTTTACGAACTGATCCGTCCTTCCATCCCAAGGTTCACTCCAGATTCCACAATTCTCAGGATATATGTCTACCATCCTTCGTCCCAAACCCGAAACATCCTGTCGAAAAAACCTGGCATACCTTGGATGTTCGACGTGCCCTTAAATACTACATCTCAAAGACAGAAGCGACTCGACGGACAGAAGCCCTCTTCGTAAACATATTGGCCCCTCACATTGGTCGAAAGATGTCTACATCTTCCATAGGTACCACACTTAGAACTTGCATTGTAGAAGCCTACAGGAGTCTTAAACTCCCAGTTCCAGAGGGAATCACAGCACACTCACTACGTAGTGCAGCTACCTCCGCAGCCTTCAATAACAGGGCTTCAGTGGAAGAGATATGTAAGGCGGCCACGTGGTCATCTCTTTCCACCTTTATTAAACACTACAAGATCAATGTGTACGATTCGGCTGATGCGGCCTTCGGTCGTCGCGTCTTGCAGTCTGTTATCTCAACAGATGACGACCACCCACCCCAAAATTAATTACTGCTCTGGGAGGACCCACAAGATGGCCTCCGCCTCAGGGGAGAACGACCATTGGTACTTACCCGTGAAGGGTCCTTCTCCCTGAGGCTTGGAGGACATCTTGGCCCGCCCGGGTCGTCATACTAGCAATTTGTTCGATTACATCATTTATCTTTCTCCTTTCAAAAAATAATAATAATAACGACAGGGACCTTATAGGGCAACGACAGTGGCAGAGAGAGATATGTTTATTATGTAAATACTGGTTACTAGTTTATCAGTTTATTCAAGTTAGTAGATTTTTTCTTCCTGTTCTAACCGTTATTATTGAGCATAGTTTATTTAGCTTACTGCTTTCGGAACAACGAACTGAGCCTGGGTGACTCCCACCAGGAAACAGGAAGAAGTTTTTTTTTACTTAGTCCTGCCTCCCTGAAGAAGGATGGGAATCACCCACAAGATGTCCTCCAAGCCTCAGGGAGAAGGACCCTTCACGGGTAAGTACCAATGGTCGGTCCCTTCCCCCTATCTTTTACTGACAGAAGCCAAGGTGATGTGGTTGCTTAGCAACAGCTGCTGGACAGCCATTGAGAGGACATTGGTTTCTTAAAGTTATAGTTGCTGTTTTTATTATGTGTGTGTGTGTGTGTGTTGTTTATATATAAATGAGATTGTAGAAAGATCTGTATTTTCTCTTCATAGCCCCAATCTCTGGATTTAAGTATCCGCTGATGGGGAGTGTTGACAATTAGATAGGTCAGTTCAGTTCTTTATTGTTACGGGCATTTGACCAAACATAAAACCAGTTTTACAGTTTACACAATAAACAACATTTATAGAATAAAACATGATCTAATAAAACTTAGATCTGGTTACTGACGAGTAGATATATATATTGATGATGCTTTACATCTTCAAATAGTTGAGTTATCACTAACACAAGGCAAACTGATTGAAAAATGATGTAAAGAGTATATGTGGGTAACATACAAAACACACACAAGCTTGGGGGGGTCATTTTATCCCCTTTCCCCTTTGAAACGGGAATGTATTTGGTTATTTTAATTCATAATTAAATTTATGTACTTTTGGGTAGACCACCTCAACTGCAGTGAGAGTGATAATAATTTTGAGTTGTTGAGTACTGTTCTTATCTCTTTCATATAGTCTGACATTATACACCAGAGTGTATTTGAATTAATTCACACAGAAGACAGACCAGAATTCCAGCGCCAGCTTCACTGGGCTCTTAACCCAACACAAACTACAGATTCTGGACAGATAACAGAAGGTAAGCGAGGCAGTCAATAGCAAATAATTATTTATTTTGCTAAATATTCAATGCTTTTTTGTTTTTAAGGAGGTGGCCAGTATTTATGTATAGGGTTGTGCTATGTTCCACCGGTTCCCCCCTCCCTCGCTGTTCCTGAGAGTCCAGTAACCCACAGGAACAACATTTTGGAAAATTCAGGCTGCAGCAGATGAAAGGGATTGCTGCTACTCCTGCTTAAGTAAAGGGGACTTAATTTTTCTTAATGTTGTGGTTGAACACAGGCTGTTAGCTGGTAGTCCTTCCACAGCCCTGTTAAGTAGATCAGTATTATTATCTCCAGGGTAGCAGTCTGAGATTGAAAAGCTGTGGAGTGCCTAACCTATAGCTATCAGTGTTTTTTACTTGCCTTTCCAAACATGCACTAGACTCTTCTATTGTTGATTTACTGGCAGAATTGCCAACTGATGAGGGAAAAAAACCTGACCTAATAAGAGGCTGATCTGCAGAAAGTAGGCAAAGCCTTTTTTTACAGTGTGGAAATTAATTTCTGCAGAGCCAGCTGCTCATAAAGGCATAGGAGCAGGGACTGTTTGAAAAGTTAGCTCAGTTTGCAAAAGTTAACTTGAGAAGGAGCTCAAAAGTTTAACTCTAACTCAAACATTAATCTTAGAGGAAGAAAACTCTCTTCTCTACCTCACTAACGCTTCCTCCTTCTCTGCTGGGCTATTCTTCCACTTCCTTCCCCTTCCTGAGTTCATGGGGCAGCAGTGGCTCCTTGTCTGCATAGGGCCATGGCAGCTCACCTTATTGCCTTGCTTGCCTTTCCCCTAGTGGCCTCTTCACCTGCCCAACCTTCTTGTTCCATGCCTCCACAAGGTAGGGAGGAGGAGCAGGTGCCACTGGCTCCCCCTCTGTCTGTTCTCTTCCTCTACAAGCTCTGAACACACACACCCCAACTGATGGAGCATTTGCTGTTTCTTACCTGGGTGGGCCCACAGAAACTCACACTGTCACTTGGCCTTCCTGTGCTCCATAAAGGAGGAAGACAGAGAGCATGTTGCTCCCTACCCAGCCAACTCTCAGGGCTGCAGTGGATGGCTCCTTCCCACACAATTCAGGTGCGGCAGCTTGAGATGCACTAGGTCTGTGTCTGCCACCTGTGGCAGCTCAATTTGTGGTGCACCCACCACAATTTGAGCTACCATAGGTGACAGACATAGATCAGGTCTGTGCACCTGGCACAGCTGTGGCAGCTGGAGTCCTTACACACCCACCCCAGCAGCTCTATGCATGCCTGCCTAAACCTACCTCCTCTCTTTCTCTGGCTGATTGGGGCAGGCCAGCACATGAGAATGGGGACTTGGGTTAGCCCTGAAAAGAGGTGCTGGTACTCAGTACTGGTGCATGGAGTCACCAAAAAAAAAAGTCCTGTTAATACCCATTTGGGGCTGAAAATTTGTGGGGCTTATTTCTCAGCCTGAAAAGTTATACTGTACAAAGCATTATGTTTTGTATGAAAGAGCATTTGGCCATTTCTGGAAAATTGGGATTCCTATCCCCCTTTGGAACGTACATTTGAAGGGGGAAGAGCAGTCATGCTATAATCTCTTATTTAAAGGACATGATCAGCAGTAGGCTCACATATGGCTTCCATAGTACTCCAGATGAGGTGAACATTTTTGCCTCCTGAAAGACTGCCAAAATAGGAATGCCTTATTGAGGTAGAGCTATTTCGAGGTGAACTTCCCACCCTCTATTGGGCTCAGCTCTACTTGTTTTGTACTATTCATGTGATTGGTACTAAAAGATTAAGAGAATTGGGTATTAATTACATGGAATTCCAAATAATTCTGTTTCATACAGCTGTGGCAAAACTGAAAATAATGAAAAGGTTATGGTGCATAATGCATCATTTTAGTTTAAAAACACTGATATTAGGCAGCTTGTTTCACAGGTAGAAGCTTTTGCCCAAATAGCCACTGTTTATGTTTAACTGGGGACCTTTCAGGATATCCTTCATTTATGCTCTTGTTCAACATAGAATTAGAAATTTTATTAAGGAAGAATTGCTTTTGCAGGACTAAAGTAGATGTTCCTCTGAAAGTTTTTTAATTGATGTTTTCTGTAGGAGATAATGGCTTTTCACAATCAGCAACATATTATAACCCAGAACAACTACCTCCAGAGAATTCTTCGTTTATGGAACGAAACTTCATCTGCAGATTACGCTGCCTCCTGGATAATTCTTCTGGGTTCTTGGTAAGAGTTCCAAGAGGAAGAAACTTGATGTATTTTGTTTAAGTTGATATATTTAAAAGTCACTACTAGGGATGGTCACAAACCGAGAAAACTGTAGTTTGTGTTGGTTCATGGCTCATTTCACTGCACGAACCATGAAACTACACAAACTTTTCTGTTTCCTGAACTGGTTCATTTGGATTGGGAGGTGGTAGAACAGCCCCCAATGGGCTACAGACCCCAAACTCAGCAAGTGTACAGCTGACTTTCCTCTACCTGCTCTCCAGGTTTGGTGAGAACTGGATTTAGTTAGGCAGAGTTACAGCCCCCCCCCCCCACAGGTGCCCCCAGGAAAGTGCTCTCCTAAGAGCATGTTGAGCTGCCCCCGTGCAAGCTAGAGGCATCCAACTCGCAGAGGACTTCCCTGGGATGCCCCTCCAGGTTGTGTGCAGATTGGCTTGGGGGGGGGGGGGAGATTCTAGGGTCCAAAGTGCAAAGGGGGGAGTGTGTTGAACACACGCACTACAAACTAAAATCATCCAGCTTACAAGAGACCTCCCTGGGATGTCCCTCCACCTGCCTTCCAAGTGGTGTGTGGATTGGCTTTGGGGGGATGATCCTAGGGTCCAAAGCCTGCCACAGCATTGTGGAGATGGATACCAGGGGTTGCTGGAAGCCTGAATGGACAGGCTGCCTTGAGGAGGAGAGGTTGATGGAGGTCTAAACTAGACAAACTGCCATGAGGAGGACAGGTTGCTGGAGGTCTGAATGAACAGGCTGCCCTGAAGTGGAAAGGTTGCTAGAGGTCTGAACAGACAGGCTGCCCTGAGGTGGACACGTCGCTGGAGGTCTAAACAGACAGGCTGCCTTGAAGTGGAGTTTGCTGGAGGTCTGAGGTGGACAGAATGCTTTTAGGTAGATGAGCTTTTCTGAGGTACAGTGCCTGCTACTCCCCAAGCTCCATAGAGGGGTATCCCAGCAGGGGGAATTTGACCTTGATGAAGGACAACTGGTCCAGACTTGAGCAGTGGGGGCTGATGGTGTTGCCTAGCTGAGAGAACAACTGCTCTCTCTGGACACTGGTGGGGGGCAGGACAGGAGGTCCATGGCCATAATGGACCGATTGGGCCAGAGGGCATTATTTCACACCCAGTACTCAAGTGTATCAGCCTCTGGGGGCTCAGGGGGGCTCTGCAAGGCAATTGCACACCATGACCTCCACCGAGTCCTCTGTCAATGCTTGCCTGGCCTCCCCAATGGTGCTGCAGACCTCCCAGCTCATCACTGAGGTCCAGTACTGGGAGGGATTCTTGGGCTCTCAGGTTCTGATGTCCTGGCCTGCAGGTGCCACCACTGCTCCTCCTCTCCTTCCCCCTCTTCCATCCCCAGTTCCCTCCGGCCACCTCAGTTGCTCTGCTAAACTCTGTGGACCTCTGCACAGATGTCCTCCTTCCATTGCATGAGCTTGTTGTTCCTCACTGCAGTGCTGCCCTTAATACACGGGTTACAAAGGCAGGCTAAACAGTAGACCAGGGGTTGCCAAACTGTGGCTCGGGAGCCACATGCGGCTCCTTTACACATATTGTGCGGCTCCTGGCAGGTTGACTGGGGAAGCGAAAGGGAGACATTCCTCCCCGATTGGTCTTCCCTTCCCCAGCCAGTGTTCCCCTCCCTGGGTAGGCTTGAGGTGGGGGGAAGCAGAGAAGGAAAACAACTAAATGTGTTCTCAAAGCCTTCCCCTGCCAGCCAGCTTGGAGAAGGCGTTTGTCTCTAAATCCCTTCACCAAGCCAGCCAGTATGAGGGCGTGGGGGACTTGGAGGACGTATTTAAAGTTAAAGTTGTTTTCTTTCCACCTCTCCCTCCCTCCCCATCTAAAGTTAAATGTGTTCTCCAAGCCCTCCCACACTGCCAGACTGGCTTGGCTCAGAGAAGGCATTTGTCTCTTTAATTTAATTTAATATGCAAATTTGCATATTTTTCAATAAAAATGTATGCGTTCATGTCTTAGCTCTCAAACATCTGACGTTTATTCTGTGGCTCTTAGATTAAGCAAGTTTGGCCACCCCTGCCGTAGACCCTCTGGATGCAATCACTTAGTCATGCCAGCTTTCAATCTGCCCACCAAGGCCCTGGTCCTCAGGAGAAGAGTCTCTCCCTACACAGCACGGATGCGAGCACCCATCCAGCCCTCAAATCAGGGGGATGACTTGCCCCAGGCTGGCTCTGTGACAACACAGGTTCTCGCTGGTGTCCTGAAAGGGCTTCAGAATGTCCATCATTTGGGAGCGGCCTGACAGTCAGTAGAGCCAATGCTTAGCTCCTCCCCCTATGCAGCATGGGCATAGTGGACATGATGTCCTGCACCACACCCTTCTGTTCCACCAGATGTGAGACCATCATGTAGATAGAGTTCCAGCATGTGGCCATGTCCTGGAGGAGTTGGTGTTTGGGCACCCCCACCTCCTCCTCTTTATCATGCAGCTGGCGGGCAGACTTGATAGTGTGGGAAAACTGGCTGACCAGGCACCAGCAGCTGTCCTGGAGTGAATGCTTCTCTCGTGTCCCCTCATCCCAGCTAGCCTTCACGGTGTTCCACAGCCCAAGAGCATCCTGCACCACAAGGTGGATCTTGTGTGTCAGGCACACAATGCCCTCAAAGCCTGCAGCATTCAGCGTCGCCACCATGTTCCTACCAGCGTCTATGACCATTCAGCCACAGATAATGTCACCCACAGACACACACTCCCTCAGTGTAGCCTGGATCTTGGCAGCAATGTTCCTCCAAGTGTGGTCCTTGTCCATACTATATGCCTGGAGCAGAAGCACTTTGCAGTCCGGTGGCAGGACCACCTGCTCTTCTCAGGGCCCTGTTGTTGCTGCCTTGGTGGTCTGGAGGTCCTATGGTTGCCACCAGTGGGCGGTGAGAGAGAGGAAATCATGCTGACGACTACTCCACATGTCGGCTGTGAAGTGCACAGTCCTCCCTTGTGTTCCAGATATCTGGGCTTGACTAGCTCTCTCATAGAGCTGTAGATGGAGGGCAGGACACGGTGGCTAATGGTCCTCCTAGAGGGGGCTGGATACTAGGGGGCAAAGAACTGCAACACCTGGCGAAAGCCCACATGCTCCACTACGGACAAAGGTAGTCCATTCAGAGCAATCATCTCTGCAATTACACAATTGTCAGCCTCTTGGGCCTTCCCACTAGCCCTTCTCAGTGGCATTGCAGTCGCCATGGGAATGACTTCCTGGAGGGTGGCCTGCCAGGACGTTTCACCACCCACACCAACCCTGGTGTTAGCCGTCTTTTTAGTTGGCTGAGAGGAGGACTCTCTTCCCCTCCCCTTCTCCCCACTGAGCAGGCCTCTTTCTCCCCCAGTGGGTGCTAATAGTTCTTCTGGAGGCAACATAGCTGGGTGGTGCCTATAGAAGTGCCTCTGGAGGGTAGTGGAGGAAGGATGTAGGGGGTTAGAGCCGCTCCGCAGCACGATGTCACAGACCCCACACCGTGCTGTACGGGGGTCATTTGGGAGGGTGGAGTAGTGCTCCTACTGCCTGGTCTGCAGTGGGTGCCAAAAATTGGAGTGGGCTGTAGGTTTAACCTCTGCCATGTGTTGTTGTGCTGGGAGGACTCGCATGCTTGTGGGCTTGAGGTGGGAGCAGCCCCTACTGGTTGGGAAGTGATGGAGGTAAAGTGTTCCCCATCACCACCATCAGATTCCTCCAAGTTCTCCATTAATATTTTTTGCAGCATTTCCTCTTCTGGGAGATCTAGCAACTGTTTCTCCCTGCCGTCCATCCCCAGGAAAACAGCCAGAAGCAGAGGACCCACATCTGCCAAGACCCCTGCTGACACTCCACTGGTGCTGGGCACCAGTGTACCGGCAGGACAGACTTGTCACACAGCAACAGCTGTCCATGGGATGGGGGGAATGGACTTCTTCCTCCCATGAGAAGCATTGGCTCCCACTCTCTCCCTCATGGTGAAAAGGTGCATCCTACACCAAGAAACCCAAAGAGCTTCCCCCGCCCCCCCCCCCGGCAGTGGCAGAGAGAGGCTACTAGTGCCACTGCTCAGTCCCTTCTGTCCTGAGCCAGAGGTGTTGCTTTGTTTCCTCTTTGTGGGTTTGTTTTTTGATAAATAAAAGTAAAGGCAACCACAGCAAATACACGCAACCACAGGAAAGAATAAAGAAAGATGGCTTCCCCCCCCCCCCGGCAGTGGCAGAGAGAGGCTACTGGTGACCCTGCTCAGTCCCTCCTGTCCTGAGCCAGAGGTGTTGTTTTGTTTGCTTTTTGTAGGTTTGTTTTTTGAAAACAAAAAGTAAGGGCAACTTCAGCAAATAAATAAAGCAAAGAAAAGAGCTTGCCCCCCGCTGGCAATGGCAGGGAGAGGCAGTGTATGGCTCAGGTCCTTGAAACCACAGCAAGGAGCACCTTCCCAGGTGGGAGAGGTGTTTAAAAAAATGTCCCACTATGTAGGTGTGGGGAAGAGTCCCTCAAAGCCTCCCCTAAAATCAGCCATGCAGTAAGCAATTGCACTAGTCTCTCTAACGATGATGGACTGACTTCTCTCTAAGTTAGAGCAGCTGACTCAGGGTGTGGCATATATACAATCTGCTTCCAAAGAGCAGAATGGGAGCTCCGTGATTGGCTTCCAGAGCTGTCAGTCAAGCTGTGGACAACTGCTGTGGGTGTTTCTAGGGCTCTCCACAAGTCCACACCCAGCATTGCCTAGGAATTGATTGAATCAGCGCCAGGCTGTCTGGAGAATGAACCGCTAAAACCTCCACAGAAAAAATGCCGTTCATTTTTGGTTTGGGAACAACAACAACAACAAACCAACTGGTTCAAAACAAACCACAAACCGGCCTGGTTCATGCTCGAATCGTGGTTCGTTTCTTAGTTCATGACCATCCCTAAAAGTCACATGTTTGGTTCTAGGAGTTTTTTATGATACCATGTGGCAACATTGTCTTTCACTGGGCACTCCATGAAATTGCTGAGCGGTCGGGTTAGAACGGATAAGAGGAAGTACTTCTTCACCCAAAGAGTGATTAACACTTGGAATTCACTGCCACAGGAAGTGGTGGCGGCTACAAGCATGGACGGCTTCAAAAGGGAATTAGATAAGCATATGAAGCAGAGGTCCATCAGTGGCTATTAGCCACAAGGTATAGATAGGGACTCTGGGGCAAGTGATGCTTTGTCATCTTGGTGCTTGGGGGGGGGGGGTCAACAGTGGGAGGGCTTCTAATGTCCTGGCCCCACTGGTGGACCTCCTGATGGCACTGGTATTTCTGGCCACTGTGTGATACAGAGTGTTGGACTGGATGGGCCTTTGGCCTGATCCAACATTGGCATCTCTTATGTTCTTATGTTCACTGTGGGTTTTTCCAGGCAGTACTTGGTTGTACTTTTAATATGTTCAGAATCCAAAAACTTCTGGAATAATGAAACACTTATGTAGCTTTTCCCATTTGCAAAGCCACCAATTTCAGTGTAGCTATGTCCCACTTGTTCATGAATTTCATTCCCTATTTGTTGGCGGTGGGAAGAGATACTGATTTTGTTGGAAGACTGCACTATTGAAGCTTCCTAGCTCCTGAATTCTGTTCTTAAGAGTCGCTCACGTCCAGCCCTGTAGCCAGGAATTTTTTTATGGAGGGGTGCCAATTAAAGTAAATTAAAATAAATTAAATTAAGCCACACATTTCCACCTCACCTTTTCTGGGCAGTTCATCTCCACCCACTAAAGATCCCCTCCTCCACTCCATCTGCATTTATTAGTCTTGTAACCCCCCCCCCCCTAAATGCGCTCAAGCCTGCTTTGGTTCCCTTCCCCCACATCGCCTAGTATCTTTCTCCCCCTTTCCTTCTGTTGCTCCTTTCGCAGACACCCCTCCCTCCCTTCCTCTCTCATCCCTGCCCCAACATGCACACTCTCTCCCCCCTTGCAGAAGAAGAAGAGATTGGATTTCTACCCTGCCCTTCACTCAGTCTCAGAGCAGCTTGCAGTCTCCTTTCCCTTCCTCTCCCCACAACAGACACCCTGTGAGGTAGGTGGGGCTGAGAGAGCTCTTTCAAGGACTGCTTTTGAGAGAACAGCTGTGAGAGAACTGTGACTTACCCAAGGTCACATCAGCAACTGCATGTGGAGGAGTGGGGAATCAAACCCAGTTCTCCCAGATTAGAGTCCGCACTCCTAACCACAACCTGGGCTCCAGTCGGCAGGGCTCCAGTCAGCTGAGTGGCACACAAGGACCATGTGTCCACAACAAAAGCCTCTTTCATTGTTTGCTGGGCCCTAGGCGGTGTCCCAAATCTGCTCTCTTCTTCCCTCCATGGCTGGCCCGTCTGCCAGCTCTCAGAGACTCGTCCCCTGAAGGAGGAGGGGAGAGGACCAGTCTCCTCGTTCCCTCTCTGGAGAAGGCGAGTGCATGATGGGAAGGAGAGAGGGTGAGAGGGGCCTGGGCTGCTGGGGTGTGGCGTGGCAGAAACAATAGGAGGCATCGCCCTATGTGCCTCACTGTTGGCTATGGCCCTGCTCACGTCCCACTGGTGCTGAATCAGAGCTAGTCATAGTTCAAAGGAAAACACTGGAAGGGTTTTATTGTGTTGAAAGGGCCTGACAGTCTCCAGCAAACTGGGTGCTAACCTTAGCAATTGAGCAGTGTGGCATTTATTCATGGGTTCTCACTAAAAAGTGTGTCATTTCTGAAAAATTGAGATTTTTATGGTAGTTGGAAGTGGTGCAAATCTTATCATTGAAGACTGTTGCATGTTCTAGTGAAAGGTAATTGCTTAGTTCATTGTTTTTGATTTCTTTAAAGTACTTTCCAAAGTGTGAAATTATACAAAGTGTGAAATTCCCATCCTTGCACATGCCTAAAATGCACTGGTGGCTTTGGGCTGGTCAATGTCTCTCACCCTAAGCTACTTGACAGGTTTTTTCTGAAGATAAACGGGAGATGCATGTACATCTTCTTGGAGGAAAAATGAGATAAAACAATAATAACATTATCTTTTCTAACTAGTATTGGATAAAACAGTTATGGATTCAGCAGAAGGAGTTCACAGTACCATGGCTATTCTTTAGCATTCTTCTCTATGTTTATTTTAAAATGTGAATTAAATATGAACTTCATTAAACTTCAGCATTATTGTTTCAGTGGTAAAGCAATCAGATTCATTTTTGAATGAAATCTACCAACGTACCTATGGGACCGCCTTCTCCGCTATGTCCCTGGAAGAGCTTTACGCTCTACTGATAACTTCCTGGTGATCCCTGGCCCCAAGAATGTCCAGCTGTCCTTGACCAGAGCCAGGGCCTTTTCAGCCCTGGCCCCAACCTGGTGGAACTCTGCCGAATGACACCAGGGCCCTGCGGGACCTTGTGCAATTCTGCAGGATCTGTAAGGCAGAGATGTTTTGCCAGGCTTATGGTTGAGGACAGCAACTGTTGGTTATACTGGCTGGCACCCTCCCCCTCCTTTCACCCCTCTTTCCTGGATGCATATTTTGTTAAGTTTTCACACCCTCCCACCATATAGCCAGGTAATCTAGAAAGGGAATACAAAACTATAAATCACCATCTGGGATTTTATTCTGATTTTATTCTTATTTATTGTATTGTATTTTAAAATTTGTATTCTGTCTTATGGCATTGTGCCTCTTTTGTACATCGCCCAGAGCCTGGCATAAGCTGGGATAGGGCGATTAATAAATCAAATAAATAATAAAATAATCATAGTAAAAATATAGTAACATCACTTCTCCATAATTTACCCAAACAAGTAAATGTGTGAGAGACAAACAGAGAGAAGCACACCATATGGCTACAACTGGTTTTCTTTTTTCTGAAGGCCATGAATTTTCAAGGGAGATTAAAGTTTCTTCATGGTCAGAACAAGAAGGGGAAAGATGGGGCAGCTGTATCTCCTCAGTTGGCTTTGTTTGCTGTAGCCACTCCTCTTCAACCTCCATCCATCCTTGAAATACGTACCAAAAACTTCATCTTCAGAACAAAGCACAAACTGGACTTCACACCTATAGGATGTGATGCAAAGTAAGTGCAACATTTAATTAATTACTTATGCCTCATATTAGTAATGTCAGATGTAATTAGCTGGGAGCCAGTTTGGTGTCGTGGTTAAGTGCATGGATTTTAATCTGGGAGAACTGGGTTTGATTCCCCACTCCTCCACTTGCAGCTGCTGGATGACCTTGGGCAAGCCATAGTTCTGTCAGAGTTGTTCTCTCAAGGACAGCTCTGGAACAAGCTTTCTCAACCCCACCTACCTCACAGGGTGTCTGTTGTGGGGAGGGGAAGGGAAAGGAGTTTGTAAGCCACTCTGAGACTCCAAGTGAAGGGTGGGGTATAAATCCAATTTCCTCCTCCTCCTCCTTCTATTCTTCCTCTTCTTCTTCTGTTAGTGGAAGTAGATCTGACACCAGAGTATTATTGTTAATAAAAAGCTTTGATCCATTTTTTAGGGAGCCAGATATTTTAGAATAGGACATTTTTCTAGCATTTGTATCTTTGTTGTCTCCCATGTTGTGTATTTGTGTTATTGTAGTTAAGATCTTTCTGGATCTTTCTGGAAAGGAAATAAGAGATTTTCATTGTTGGTGACACTCAGCTATTGAAAACTTTTGTTCTCTGCTTGCCCATTTTGGGTTACAAGTTTTTCTGTTATACATAAAATCATTTGTTTTTTTACTGTGAACCACCATGAGCTATAGAAAGATGACACAAAAATGTTATAAATGATTGAATCTGTTTTTCAGAGGACGAATTGTGCTGGGCTACACCGAAGCAGAATTGTGCATGAGAGGAACGGGATATCAGTTTATCCATGCAGCTGATATGCTTTATTGTGCTGAGAATCATGTCCGAAGTAAGAAGTGTTATGCTGACCTATAAAACAGAAGAATGTTTGCCAAGATAAATTCTGAAATGTATCTTGAATTTATCTCTTCCTTTTTAAAAACAAGAGCTTTCCTGTAGACACGTTTTTCGACTAAACATTGAGCTTATATTGGAAGATGCACTATTTTAAAATTCTCATGTGGATTCCTTTAGTTTTAATCTCCATGTTCATGTCACATCTCACTCTTTACTATTTTTCTTCTCTCGCTATCTCTTCCTGCAAGTCCAGCAGTTTTCTCAAGCAGAGTGACTATTTTGAGAAATTTTTGCCAAGTCTAAATTTAGGTTGTACTCTGACCTTGATAGAGTTGGATTTTTTTCCAGAAGCTTTATTTTAGTGTATACACCTCTGTTGAAAGGATGTGCTTTTTCCTTGACTAATATAATGTTTGACATTGCTCTCCCCCACCCCTTAGAACATGTATTGACTTTGTTGATAAAAGCCAAAAAGCCTTTTTACCAGAAAAAGGGAAATTGCCATTACAAAGGTAAATTATTAGCTCCTATTTAAATATCAACCTTCCAAAAGTCTTCATATGGTTCATATAACTAATTTGCAAGTGAGTTTCCAAAGTTTTTTTTATCTTGAATTAAGAATTTGCATACAGGCTTATGTTTCTGTAGTGTGGTAGAACTCTGTTATAAGTATAGAAGTATAAGAAGTCTATATTTCAATAATTTGTAAATTAGGTTATGTGTAGCAGAACAAACATATTTGATAAAATTTTGCATGTAAACCTGTAAAGTTAATTTGGGGAAAAAATAACTATTTTTAACACTTCTGATTTTTTTAGTGATAAAGACCGGAGAAAGTGGTATGACTGTATTTAGGCTTCTTACCAAAGAAAATCGATGGGCCTGGGTTCAAGCAAATGCACGACTGGTTTACAAAAATGGGAGACCAGACTATATTATTGCCACTCAGAGACCTATTACGTAAGTATTCTTCGAGGCAGATTCTGTAGACCTTAAATTTTCCAGTCAGTCTTGATCATAGGTGTTTTCCACAGGGAGAAGGCCAAAGGGCATTGTTTGATTTCTCCACTGTGGCTGCTGATATAGCACAGTGGCAGCATGGTTTCCACATGGCAGCTTTTCCTGCATTTTCCCTGCCCCATCCCCTCCTACGTACCATGGGGGCCTTTTCTTACTTTTTTTTTTTTAAACAGCCATTGACATATGGTTATGGCATTATAACAATATGTCTGTCAAATAGTATTCCCAGGTTTTATTAACTGAAAGGCATATCTCTACAACAAATGGAACTGGAGACTGACTTTTTGATGTGAGTTAGGAATTCAGAGGAGCTGATAGAGAGCTTGTTATGACAGTATAATACTACATGGAGGGATCCCTCATCAGCTGGGAGTCAACTCCTGATGGCTGCAAGTAGCCTGTTTCTGCAGATACACAAAACAGGTTGATTAATTCGCTGCCTGATCTTCACTGGTGAACTGGACGTGAGATGAATTGGCAGGTGTCAGCATCCTGTGTGAACATAGACCTCAAAGTATAGCAATAACTAGTTGGATCTGAAGGTTCTCTTTCAGTAACAGAGGAGCATTGCTCAGGCAAACATACTCCTTCCACCAGAAGAAGCCTTCTTGTGCTGGTAGAAGGCTCTTCTGTTAATGGAACAAACCTTATGATCCATTGTACTATCTCCTAGTAAAATAATTTGAAAATAAAATGTATTATTTGGGTCTTTATTACTAATTTAACATCATAAGTAAACTATATGTAAAATCTCCTACCTTTTGAGCATTGGTTTTAAAATTATGTTTCTATTAGGGGTGTGCATTCAACTAAATCTGAGCTTTAAAAAAAATCCAAAAAATACCTTATTGTTATTTTCCGGAAATTGTTTCAGCGGAATATAGATTTGGGTTATTGTTCAGCTATCCAAAATGGCCAAGCCCTGAAAATCCCAAAAAATATTTGGGATTTTGGGGACTACCAGATAGACAAACTTAAAGGGCGTTTAAAGGGATTACAGTCCCTTTCAGCCCCATAGCCAGGATTTTGTGGCTTGTGGGGAATTTTTTTCTGGTGGGGCTGAAGTCCTCAGTGCAGGAAGAAAAGCTATTTAGCCAATAGAAAGCTATTGCCAGGATAGATCTCTAAACTGCAAGCTGTCAACCACTTTAGATGACAGTTCTCAGCTGCTGCAAGTTAATCACTTCTGCCAGCCTAAGCAACAGTTCTGATAACAAACCAGCAGGTGGGGGTGATGTATTCTATAGTCAAGAAAGCTAACACTTAGGCAGAAAAACTCTTAAAGGAGACCAGTTTCTTGACAACAGAGTTAGAAGGGATCCTAGAGGTCACCTACTCCAACCCCCTTGCTAAGTACAGAAATTAGTCAACTACAGAACCCCACTCTGCTTAAAGGAGTGCATGCCTTTAAAAAATGTTTTTAAATTATTGAAAAAAGCATTTACAGGAGAAATTCTTATAAAGTTATGCCTTTAAGAAAGGGGGTGGGCCCCCCAAAAGCATCACTGTAGCTACGGGCCTGGTCCCTTTAAATGCCTTCTCCAAGCTGTGCAACTCTTATGGCCAGTGAACTCCGAAGCGTTTAAAGGTCTCTCAGTCCCTTTAAACAGCTTCCGGGTGAACTTGCCACTGGAGAAGGTGTTTAAAAGGACTGCAAGCCTTTTAAAACCTTTGGAATTCACTTGCCGCAGAGTTGCATGGCTTGGAGAAGGCATTTAAAGGGACCACAATCCTTTTAAACACCTTTTTTCTCCATTGAAAGCAATGGAGGATGGGGGCACCTTTTTGGGGGGCCCATAGAATTGGACCTCCAGTGCAGTCTTTTTAAAACTTGGGAAGGGGTTTTGAGGAAAGACACCAGCAGCTATGCTGCAAATTTGGTGCCTCTACTTCAAAAGACAGCCCTCCCCCAAGCCCCAGATTGATTCTGCATTATACCCTATGGGGACCATTGATTATAATAATGCCCATAGGGTATAACGGAGCCAAAAATTAGAGTTTCTCATATATTCTCCATACCATACCACTACTGGGATTCAGGGATGTTGGAAAAAACTGATATATATTTTTTTGGGTTCAATATACCCAAATCCGAAAAATACAGGTTTTGTTTTGTTTTGCATACCCCTAGTTTTTATTGCAGTTACTATAGTAAACTTTCTACCCTTGGTGTTCTGCAATTTAGAGATGAAGAAGGGTCAGAGCACTTACGGAAGCGAAACATGAAGCTGCCCTTCATGTTCACTACAGGTGAAGCCGTCTTATATGAAGTGACATTTCCTCAGCTTGGCTTAATGGATTCTTCTCAAGCAAAGGCTAAAAGCAGCTTCGGAAAAGGAGCAGCTTCCAAGGCTACGCAACCCAAACAGTCGGTTGATCCCAGCTCGCTTTTGGGTGCATTGATGCAGCAGGATGAATCTGTGTACCGCTGTCCACCTGCTTCAAATAAAATTTCTTTTGAAAAGAACATTTTTACAGATACCAGGGATGAACTGGGTGATGCCATTGCCAGTGATTGGCAGGATAATATTTTTCCAGTGGGAAATAGCAGCCTTCTGAAACAAGAGGAGACTGGGTGTCCACAGAATAATAACTTGATGCTTCCTGAAGATAGTGTGGGGCTCTTTCAGGATAATAAAAACAGTGAATTGTATAACATCATGAAAACACTAGGTATTGACTTTGAAGATATAAAATGTTTTCAGCAGGATGAAGAGTTTTTTAAAAATGATCTTTCTGATATAGATGATATTAGAGACATTGACATTACTGATGAAATCTTGACGTACGTTCAGGATTCCTTAAATAAGACTGATCTCTTGTATCCGTGGTGCCAGCAGCAACAGCCCATGGTTCAGAATTCAAGCTGTTTAATGCAGCAACAGTTGGAGCAACAGCCACCAGTTGCAGAACAAAGGCAGCTGTGTCAGAAGATGAAGCACATGCAGGTCAATGGGATGTTCACAAACTGGACCTCAGTCAGCAGCATGCCTCTTAATGCTTCACAGCAACAATCACACCCTTGTGTCTTTCCTGGTGTTCAAGAATTGACTCAGGAGTTCCCTTACAAGTCTGAAGTTAACACGGCAACGTATGCATGTAGGCAAGAGTTTACTCCTTACAAACACCCCACGAACATGGTGTCACAGCTTTCAGATTTTCCACAGATAGATTTCCCAGTAGGAGGTTTTGACAGATCAACGTATTCAGGTTCTTCTGGCTTAGAGGATTTTCTCAGTTGTTTGCAGCAAGTCCCTGAAAGTCAAGATTCTGGAATAAATTCTCAGCCAGTTATAGTAACTCCTCAGACATGCTATGCTGGTGCTGTGTCAATGTACCAGTGTGTTTCTGAAATGCAGACAGACTGCACGGAAGAAATGCAGTATAATCCTGTGGTGTCGGGACAACAAACATTGCTAAGCAAGGTATGGCATTTGAACTGTTAAAATATAATCTGTAGGCATTTGATAGGATCCAATGAACTTTCTGTAGATAACCATTTTTCGTATAATCTGCATTGCACAAATGGTCTTTGGTTTATCTGCCCCCACCAAGCTATTTTAGTATCCTCAGAACTAGAGGTACTTAAAATTGTAAATGGGGGCATCTTAAAGAAATTTATGGAGTTGAGGGAAAGCAAAAATTGTTGTGTTTTTGCTAGAAGTTTTTCACTTCTGGAACAGACTTTATATTTTGTATTTAGAATAATGTCATTGGTGCATTTCCATTTAATATTAAGCTGTAGTAATGAATGCAGTAATATCCTTACTGGCTTCACATTATCCAAGAATAGGTTTTAGGTTAGAAATCAGAAGGCATAATTGTTTCTGCCGTAGGGTTGTGTTGACAGTATGATCTCAGGTTGTTTTAGCCTGGTAATCCTGTTAAAATTTCTGTACAACATATGAGTAATGAAACCCATTTAATTTCCTTTTGGTAAGAGTATGTGTATAAAGAAAGAAGTACTCACTTTGGACCAAAAGTAAAACACTAAAGTAGTAGCAGCTTGTTACTTTTAATTATAGATAGGTTTTGTAATGTTTCACATGTTTATGTTTGGAATGCAACAGTGGCTGCCTTCAAGCGATGATATTTCTCTCTAACTCAGTAGTTATCTGACTCATCCCGTTTAGTGCTTCTTAATTGGGTACTTTGGTGAGGTTCTGTTCTAGGTCTCTGTAACAATTTGCAGCTTACCCTTATTTTAGGCAGTTCCACGAATGATGACTTTTCCAGTAGTGTCTTAAAAAGCTATTTCAAATAAGCTTCATTCCTAGTTGGCTGAGTCACTAAACAAAGTATATAAGAAGTGCCACAATATTTCTTTTTCTTTGGAGACTTGTCAAAACCCTAGAATCTTGGAAGTACAGCTGGATGTTTTTCTTTTGATGGCTAGGGTAAACCAGGGAGAAAAATTGGACAGCTAGTACTCCCCCCCCCCCATGATGTGTAAATATGCCTGAAAAATCTTGTCCTCAATGTAAAATTTCCTCACAGGTCCTTTCCTTAGTTTGCCATTCTGTATCCGATCTCTTGCTTATCTTGGAGTGCAAATCCAAATTCTCTGTGTTCAAAAAGGTCTCTTCCTCACATGCTTGCCAGATGTGGGGAGTAGGAATGAGATTGTGTTGAGCCTATGGGGATCTTTCTTGCTTGCTCTGGACTGGGTCATAGTGTGTATTACCTGCCTACATATAACAACTATCAATTGAGCAAACACATTTCTCTTACTTGTTTCAATGAAATTGGACTTCACACTATAAATATAAGCATTGTTGGTTCAGTTCAAGAAACACATAGCATTAATGATGCTTAAAAATTGTACTACATTTAAAGTTTTGTTTACCTGCCTATTACTGAGGCATTTATGTTTCATGTGTTCATTTTTTAAACCACTGCAATAAGTGGGGTTGACATGCTCTCTCTGTGTGTAGGATGGTGGGAAGCACACACACACACTTTTATTGGCATTGAGAGTGCAAAATATTATGGGAATACAGCAAAATATTAAGATACATCAATCACTTACAAACCCTGTCTTCTGATTGCATAATGTAAAAATTTTGCAACAGAAGAAAGTGAATAATTGAATCATCAGAATGCCAGCTCTTACCATCTAAAAGTGGAGTAATAAAATGAGATCGAATATCCCTATAAACGGGACAATAAAGTATGGTGTGTGTAGTGGATTCTATATCTTTTAGAAAACAAGGACAAAGTCTGTCTACATATGGTATCTGCCAGTACCTCCCTAAAAGCACCTCTGATTGCAGAACATTAAAGCATGCAAGCATGTATGCTCTGCAATGGTTTGGGACTGTTAGACATAACAGCTATTTCACAATAGAACCTGTATAGGAGGTCCCCAGTCTACTTGGGGAGCATCCGCTAGCAGCGCGTTCCCTAAATTCTTGCCTTTTGATATTGAGAAATCTTTGTTTGATAATAGCATAGGCTTGTTTATCCAAAAAGGGAGCTAATAATCTGGAGATAATCCCATTGTAGAAAGTTTCTCCTCTACATATCTAAGCCATTGAGAGAAATGGGACTCAGTTAACATATGAGTAATGATACTTTTAGTTTTAGCATGAAAGTGAAGTTTAAGCCAAAACTGAGTTCCTATCAGCCATGCTCTGGTCAATAGAAGCCTTTGATTGGTTTCTAAGCATAGAGTTGCGTAAGGAACACATGATGGAAGTCCAAGAAATTTCCGTAAAAATCTGGACTGTATTCTTTCCAAATCCCCTTTTAAGGCCTCAATCCAGATTGGTACTCCGTAACATAATTGAGCAGCTAATTTGGCATTAAAAACTTTAAGGACCACCGGCACATACTGGTTGCCCCTGGTATAATGGAAGCAATGTTGTTCGCTGCCTCAATTGTCCTCTCTTTATGATTGATCCATCTGGTGTTATAGTAAAAGTGGATACCCAAGTACTTAAAGCTTTTGACTTGTTCAGTTACATGTCTTCCATCTAGATGGCTTCCAGCTCTTACTGAAGATCATAATTTTGGATTTTTCAAAATTCAGAACTAGCCTATTCTTTTTACAATAATCTACAAAGCTCTTCAGAAGGCGTTTCAACCCTATATGAGTTAGAGACAATAGCACTGCGTCGTCGGCATAAAGGAGTAAAGGGATATGGATTGAGCCAAGTTTAGGGGATCGGATCTAGAATGGGTGCCAAATCATTTATGAACAGGTTGAATAGAAAGGGCGCAAGAAGGCAGCCCTGTTTGACTCCTATATTAATTGGAATTTTGTCAGTTAGGTCACCAGCGTTGTTAAGTGTAACTTGGCAGGTCATATTATGATGAAGCTTCATTATTAAATATAAACGCCTCGGTTCCATCCCCATCATCTTGATTTACTCCCATAGACATTCTCTTATGACTGAATTGAAAGCACCTTTTAGACCTAGAAAGGCTGCATATACTTTTGTGCCTTTTTGCCTCCTATACATTTACAAGGTTCATAAGAGTCATGCAGTGATTTAGGGTAGATTCCCCTTTACAAAATCCTATTTGTTCTTGACCCAGAATTCCTTGTTCTAACATCCATGATCCAAGTTTGTTGACCAGTCGTCTAGCATAAAGTTTCCCAATAATAGAGAGGAGGCTTATCGGGTGGTAATTGGATGGTATCTGATAATTACCCTTTTTAAAGATGGGAACCAGTATCACATTTGTCCAAGACTCTGGCATTATTCCCGTCTTATCGATGATAGTAAAAAAAAAATTGTCAAGAAGGTAGCCCACCAGTCCAATTTTATTTTAAATGTTTCGGGTGGAATTGAGTCTGGGCCAGGGGCTTTTCTTGACTTTAGCTGTTCAATAAATGGAATAACAGCCTCTGGTCTCACTGGAAGCCATTGGGGAATATCATCTAGTTCAGACACCATATAATTAATGGGATTAGTGGCAATTATATTACTATCACAGAACAGCTTTTAAAAATAGTCTTACCAGTGATCTGGGGTGATAACAAATGCACTCTTCTTTTTATGTTTATCTGACACCAACGCTCAGAATTTCCTGGAGTCATTTGTCAATGTAGCCTGAAGGAGGTTAGCCCATTGTTTCTCAGTGTGCTCTTTATATTTAACTAGGAATCAGCCCCCTTCCCCCCCCCCGGTCGCCTGAGTCCAAGGCTGTTGGAACGGGGGCTCTTCCCGCACGGTCAAGGCACTGGCGGGTCAAGCTGGCCAGCCTGTTGGGCCCGCCTCGTGCGCTAGAGGCATCGTCATCGGCTGGGGCTCATTCTCTCTAGGCTCCAGCCCTCAAATCTCCAGGAATTTCCCACCTGGAGTTGGCACACCAGAGCACTCGCATTTTATTGTATTGTATAAGATTGTTTTATTCTGTTTTTAACTGTTTAACCTTGGCATATGTGCCTCTTCTGTGAGCCACCCTGAGCCTACTCTGGGAAGGGCGGGGTATAAATTTAATAATAAATAAAAAAATAAACCCTATCTCCTTCCCAGCCAAGCATCAACCTGCCTTCACTCCCCCCTCACTGATCAGCTGTCCATCCCCCCCCCAGCAGCCCCCACCGTGCTCTGAATCCCTGACTGCCACATCACCTTGGCTGTCATGGGGGGCCATCTCAGCAGGGTATAAGGACACAGAGTCCACCATTTTCTCCAGGGGAACTGATCTTTGCCATCTGGAGAGCAGTTGTAATTCTGAGTGATCTCCAGCCCTCACCTGGAGATTGGCAACAATGGTTTTCCAGGATGAAAAGTAGTCTTTCTCTGCAATAGAGACCAAAGCAGATAACATCATTCTCCTCTCCCCCTTTTGACTTCCACAACAATCAGGTGGGTTAGGCTGAAAGTCTGTGACTGGTCCAAAATCACCCACTCAGCTTCTACAGCAAGAACCTGGAACTGAGACCCAACTCTGAAGCACTGATGGCTATGCCTAGGGTAGCCAACCTCTAGGTGAAGCCTGAATATCACCAGGTATCACAACTGAACTCCAAACAACAGATCTCTCCCCCCCCCCCCCCGAAAAAAAACCGCCTTTGGCAATCTGTCACGGCAGGACCAGGGGGCGTGACACAAGCAAGCAAAAGTCCAGGAACAGTCCGAGGTCAAGCCGGGCAAATCAGGTAGCAAGGTTCAAGCAGGTTTAAATCACAGTCCAAAAGCAGGGTCAGACATACCAAAGTTTCAAGTCCATAAATCACAACAATACCAGAGGAGTCAGAGATGAACGCAGGGTCAACAAAGCCAAAGGTCAAAAGCCGAGGATCAAGCCGAGAAGAATTCCACAAGGTCTGGAGCAGAGATGCAAGGATTCAGGTCCTGAACAAACGACGTTTGCCAGCACAAATGACTGCTGGCAACAGACTTGCATATATACAGTGCTAGCTAATCAACTCATTAGCTAGCCAGGAGTGAGGACAGGATCCTGTCAGTAA